AAAGTCCCAAGTGCTGACACTAAAGACCATGCTTCCATACCAAGGTTTGTAACTCTCCTTCACGCCCCTTCTTTCTTTGTTCTTTCCTTCAGAAAGATCCCATTTATCCCAGGCTGGCTGCAAACTCACTGTACAGCTGAGGACGACCTTGAACTTGTGTGTTTCCTGATTCTACCTCCCAAGTTCTGTGATTACTGGTGTTTCTCACCAAACCCAACTTATGTGGTGCTGGGGTTGAACCCAGGGCTCCATGCATGCTAGGTAAGTGCTCTACCCACTGAGCTACATCTCTGCCCATGACCTGTTTTCTTTACTCCAATCAACTTGTCTTTAAAATATCTGCATCTGCTGCCTTAATTTCCCTGACTTCTACTCAGTAATCTACCTTACCTTTCTCTGATCAGCTCCATTAAGCTTCTAGAAGATTGCCTACTTTGACCTCTCTTTGGCCTTCAACCTCTTTCACACTTTGGCAGCAGAAGGCTTTACTGTCTCTTCCCCTGGTTTTTTGAGTAATTTCTATATCAGAACCTTACCTTTCTTGTGCACACACTCACCTGTGTCCTACTTAAAAAAAACCAAATATGTGTGTGTGCACATGTGTGTGTACATCTATATACAGAGATGTGTATAGATATGTGTGTGTTTACATATACACAGTGTATGACTGTGATGTATGAGTATGGAAATGCACGCCCCTCAGTGTGTGTGGTCTGAGAGCAACTTTTAGGAGTTGGTTTTCCTCCTGCCATGCTTTAATGCAGGATTTGTCTTGTTTCTGTTGTGCTAAATACTTCAGACTAGCTGCCTTAATTTCCTTGACTTCTTAATTCACATAAGCCTTCAAGCTTCCAGGCCACACTAGGAGTGCTGGGGTTGCAGATGCATATCCAGCCTTTTTATGTGGGATCTGCGGATTCAACCGAGGTCATCAGGCTTGCAGAGCAAGCATTTTCTTTTTCCTGCTGAGCAATTTCTCTCACCCACTTTGTCCTGCTTCTTCTCTTTTGCCGCCTTACAAGTCCAGCTCTCCTTAGGGTTCCCTTCTTTGGGTTTTCCCTTTCCTGACTAATACATACTACTAGCTTAGGCGCACACTGCTGAAAGAGGTTAAGTCTCCATTGCTATTGCCCATCCGGCAGGCATTCCTTCGGGCTGTCCTCTGACCCTGCTCCTCCCTACAGTAACCGACAGTGGGTTACCACTGTGAATAGAAATGGGAGGTCTGTACCAAGCACACTGAAGCTGAGAAGCAAGTTGTAAATTTTGCTGATCAAATTCAACTCTGAGGAGGTTTCCGTCCTCCTCGTGGAATAAATGCTGTTAATCCACCCAAGTGATTATGTACCACTACTCTGACACATTCTGACAAAAGCCTGGATAGAGCTGGGTGTGGATGTGCACACCTGTCTAATCCCAGCACTTGAGAGGCAGAGGCAGGAGGATACCTGAAAAATCTAGGCTAGCCTGATCTACATAGTAAGTTCCAGGCCAGCCAGGGCTGCATAGTAAGACCCTGTCTCAAGCATGCAAACAAACAAAGCATGGCTAGGCAATCTAGTCACTATGTGGACTTCATAGAGCATCCTTATGCAATGTAAGAGTACTGCGGAATCACCAGGCAGCACAGCTTTGTGGAGCCACTTTCATGAATAGAGCCCATTACTGACCAAAACCACTGGTATGCAGCACGTGACTGTAACAAATCTTTTTTTTTTCAAGACAGGGTTTCTCTGTGGCTTTGGAGGCTGTCCTAGAACTACCTCCTGTAAACAAGGCTGGCCTCAAACTCACAGAGATCCGCCTGCCTCTGCCTCCTGAGTGCTGGGATTAAAGGTGTGCACCACCACCACCCCACTAATAAATCTTCTTTAATGTATGAATCAGTGTTTCTGACTCTCTCTCTCTCTGGAACCCCATATCTACAGATTAACTTCTTTCACCCTCTCTTTTTGGGCTGGTCATCCACACTTCTGATCCAACCCAACCAGAAATAGAACAATTCCATTTCCTCTCAAGCCTGGTCCCCTCTAGCATCCCTTGCTCTGTCATCTCTGTGATCCCTCCCCACCTCTGCTCTGGTCACTCCTCCTTATAGCCTCGGCTCTGGTCAGGCCATCCCTACTGCTTTCCCACACCACCAAGTAGCTGTAGTGTGTGGAATACATACGAGGGTGCCAGGGATTTGAACTCAGGCTGCCTCGCTTTCACCGCAAATGTTCTTAGCTACTGAATCATCTCTTCGGCCCCTGCAATAGCTCTTTAACTAGTTCTCCAGACTTAACTCTTTGCACCTCACAAGGGCAAAGTGTCATCCTTGTTTGCCATTGACTTTCCTTCCACAAACATAGATACAGTGTTCAGTCAGCCCTGTGCTCACAAGGCATGGGTCGTCATGGCAACAGGATAGGCAAAAAAAAAAAAAGACAGGAATAGGTTCTGGATCCATTTCTAATGTACCTTTCATTGCTTTGGGTTATTATTTATTATTGCTTAAAATCTCTTTCTTCAGGCTAGAGAGGTGGTTCAGCTATTAAGAGAACTGGCTGTTCTTCCAGAGATATTGTGGGATATTTGTTTAACTAGGCGGAAGATGTATTGTTTTTTTTTTTTTGTTTTTGTTTTTGGTTGGTTTTTTTTTTTTTTTTTTTGGTTTTTCGAGACAGGGTTTCTCTTTATTGTTTTGGAGGCTGTCCGGGAACTCACTCTGTAGACCAGGCTGGCCTCAAACTCACAGAGATCCTCCTGCCTCTGCCTCCCGAGTGCTGGGATTAAAGGCATGCGCCACCAACGCCCGGCTTACTTTTTTTTATGTTGCTGAATATTACTTCAACTGTGTAAAGATGTGTTCCATTTGTTGTATTTCTTTAATGATGTAAGGATGTGGTGCTTTGCCTGACTAAGGTACCTGATCGGTCTAATAAAAAGCTACATGGCCAATAGCTAGGCGGTAGAGGGATAGGAGGGGCTGGTGGGCAGAGAGAATAAGTAGGAAAAGGAATCTAGGCTTAAGAGAATGAGGAGAGAGAATGAAGGAGAAAGAAAGGGAGATGCCTGGAGCCAGCAAGTCAAGCAGCTGCCAGACAGACAGACATGGAGTAGGACCTACAGAGGGAAAGAAAGGCAAAAAGCCTGGATGCAAAATGTGGATTGTTGTGGAAAATCCCTTTATACTGTGTGAAGATGTATCACTGTGATTGGTTTAATAAAGAGCTGAATGGCAATAACTAGGCAGGGAGAGGTGGGGTGGTGCATTTGGGCACAGAGAGGACTCAGAGGGGAAGAAAGGCGGGGTCACCAGCGTACCAGAGAAAGCAGCATGAGCGGTACAGAGAGATGAGGTAAGAAGCCTCATGACAGAACGCAGATTAAAATAAATGGGTTAATTTAAGTAATAAGAGGTAGCGGGACAAGCCTAAGCTAAGGTCAAGCTTTCATAATTAACTATAAGTCTCTGAAGTCTCTGTGTCATTATTTGGGAGCTGGTGGTTCAGAGAAAGACTTGCTACAGTAAATGAAGAGAAACAGGTTAAAGTAAGTTATAAGAGCTAGAGGGACAAGCATAAGATACGGCCAAGCATTCAGAATTACTAATGAATCTCCGTGTCTTGATTTGGGAGCTGGTTGCTTGGTGGCCCAAAAGAAAACCTGTTACACACAGGGCCCAACTTTAATTCCCAGCACCCACATGGCAGCTCACCGTCGTCTGTGATGGCAGCGCCAGGAGCTCCATCAACACCTTCACACAGACACACATGCAGGAGCCCCATCAACACCTTCACACAGACACACATGCAGGAGTTCCATCAATACCTTCACACAGACACACATGCAGGAGTTCCATCAATACCTTCACACAGACACACATGCAGGCTAAAACGGCAAAGCACGTTAAAAGAAGTTCTTTCTCCTGAGTTGGACAATCTCCTTAAAAAGCAGGGTCACTGTACCTGCCTCACAAGCATTCACCATGCTGTCCTGAGGTTTGCATGGACACATGGGTGCCTAGATAGAGGGATGAGTGACAGCTCAGGTGAACTATCATTCTTCTTTCCAGCTCTACAGTCAGAAGGACATGGCTCAATTTCCAGAAGGGCCCACATGCCACAAACCACTCCATTTCTACTGAAGCTGTTCAGAAAATATAAACTATAACCTTTAGGGAAAGGGGATCTTAGCTGTATTTTAAAAATCCCCCCCCCGTGACTGTAATACATACCCAGAGTCTAGAACACTGCTGGTCATGATGCACACCTGTAATCCTAGCATTTAAGAGGCAGAGAAAGGAGAACTGTGCAAGTTCAGGGTCAGCCTGACCTGCCTAGTGAATTTGGGGCCATCCAGAGCTGCATAGCAAGCAAGAACCTAAGTCAACCCGCACCCCTCACACACCCATCAACCCTATCGCTAACCCACTTACATTGTTATTCACTTTGTTTTGTTTTGATGTTTTTCAGCAACACATCTTAGAGGTTCCTCTCTGTCTCGATAATATAAGAATGGGCTCTTTGAACAGCTGCGAAATGTCCCACTGGACGGATATAACTTGAGGGTTCATGGTCTATAGTAGCACTCAGTAATCCTGTCCATACAAATATTGCCGAAACAAATACTCCCTAGTTTGACTTTTGTCAGATTAACACAAACTGGGGTCATCTGGCAAGAGGAATTTAAGCTGAGAAAATACCTCCGACAGGCTGACCTGTAGGCAAGCCTATGAACGATTGATGTTCACTGTGGGTGGTGCCATCCCTGGGCAGGTGGTCTTGGGCTGTACCAGAAAACAAGGTGAGCAGGCCACAGGAAGCAAGTCCGTAAATGATGTTCAACTTGCTGCCTTGAGCAAGTTCCAGGACAGCCAGTGTTACACAGAATAACCCTGCCTTGAAAAACCAGTGAAGAAAAGTAGACTAGGATGCTTGTTGTTTGCATAAACATATATATGTATGTATATAAGATAAAGTCCTACAAATACACTTAACAAATAAGAATACTTGTAGTTTCAATAAATATATTTAATTTGCTATTTGTAGTTACGGTATTTGACAGTTATTACTAAGCTGCCCTGCGAGGACTTAGTATTAATCTTAAGTTTGGGAAGAAATTTGGGGGAAGAGAAAATGTGGTTACATATTAAAGACACATGCATGAGGTCACAGTTCCTGTACTTGGGTTTAAATTTCAAAAAGTGAGCAGAGAATACAAACACGGATTATCCACTGTAGCCAAGGCTCCCAGTATCTTTTTCCGTGGCAATCACTGGATGGAAGTTCCCAGTGCCTCTCCGGACAGCCAGGATTCTTGTTCTTTCTAGCCATTATTCTCAAAAAGGCAACAGTCTGTGTTTTCTGCTGTGTCTCAGAAGGTAGATGAAGCCACATTTTGAAGCCCTTTTTAGACACCATCTTAACCACAGTATTGCTTCAGAAGTGAGCATTCCCAGAGCGGGGCCAATGGCGAGCGACGCCCAGGGAACTTGGAGGGCTTCTGCCTCTGAAGGAGCTTCTCATTTCTGAAGACAAGAAGCAAAGAATGGAAACTTTAGACAAAATTATGTTCTCCAGAACGGGAAGAACTTTGCAGCCCTAGCAATTCTTTCCTTTGAAGCTCTGCCAGGAGCTGAAGACAATACAACCAAACATGGGATTAGAAACACACTCTTCTACAAAGGCGAAGGATTCCTGGAGCAAAAACCAGACACTCCTTTGGGAGGTCTTTGCTTTTACATAATAGGAGATTTTACTGTACAGTGTTCTCTTCTGCTTCTGTTCTAAATCCTTGGTCCTCCTCTGAGTCTGATAGACAGAACAAAGCTAGAAGCATAGAGCTATAGAGGAAAGCTGAATTCTCCCTCCCTCCCTCCCTTCTTCCCTCCCTTCCTCCCTCTTCCTTCCCCCCCCCCTCAGGATTGTTGTTTGGTTTGGTTGATATGGTTTATCTTTTGGTTTGAGATATGACTTTGTTGATCCCTTGTTGGTGGGCACTCATCATGAAGCCAACACTGGCCTCAACCTCACAGCAATACTCTTGCTTTAGCCTCCCAATACTGAGAATATAGATGTGCACACCACACCTGGCCAGATTTTTCTTTTGGCTATGACATGGTTTTCTTTATTTGTTGTTTGGCTTTTTTTCTTTATTTCTTTGCTGTTTATCTGTTTGTTTGTTTGAGACAAAGTCTCACTACTCTGTAGCCCTGGCTGGCCTGGAACTTGCTATATAGATCAGACTGACTTCAGACAGAGATCTGAATCTGCCTGCTTCTGCTTTCTGAATGCTGGTATTAAAAGTATGACAATGACATGTTTTTATAAAAGCTGTCATGACTTCCTGAGAGACACAAACCATTGAAAACATGATTTTCATGCATGGTGAGTTCTCAGAGATTTCTCTATCTCTTGATGAAATTCAAACATCTGTCTTTGAATAGTTTATCAGCTTAAGGTCTTCGATAGATGACAAAATAAGTGACTCACAAGAGGGAGTCAGAAGTGGTCATTTCAGCACCATAGTGGCTTGTGGACTCAAGAGCTCCAAACAGTACAAATCTGAAATTCATAGCACTGGAGGCTTAGAAAATGCTCCTAGGCTTCTAGGACTGACGGTGGAGCAAGTGCTTGTCCAGCATGCCCATGGAGCTCAGAGAAAAAACTGAGAAAATTGGTTCTCTTTCCTCCATGTGGTCTCAAGGCTCAAACTCAAGTCTTCAGGCTCCTTTACCAGCTGAGACATCTCTCTGATGCACCCTTTCATAATGATTAAGTTAGGAAGAATAACAAATCTGATTCAAGGGGCAAGGTGCTTTAACCACACGGTGAGTGAGTTCCAGTCATTAAAAACTTGCTGTCTCCTGCCTGTAAAAACAGTAAGAGATCACCATGCAGATGATCCATCTGTGCTGGTTGGTAGTGAAGCACTGTACTCGGGTTGTCTGTGTGTCACACACACAATTAGGAATTAGCCCATGAGTGTACCTTTCACATCTAAACCTGTGAGTTCCTTGGCTGCAGCCGCACTTGCCCCTTATCCTACTCTGTCACCAAGCAGTGTTTCTTCTGCCCTGTGTCACCCAAGGGCCATGTGCCAGCTAGCTATCACTTCTACAACCCAATGCCTGATGAAATTGCTCAAATACTCTGACTCAAAGCTGATTGCCCTGCCCTCTCTTAGCCCTTGGGAAACCCCAATAAGGCCCTGCCTCCACATCCCATCCCCTGGAGTTAGCTCTTCCTGTAGCCAGGGGTGGCCTTGTTACCTGACAGCAGGCATTTGTGGCATAAAAAGCCACTCATTACAGCCAAGACAGGCAAGGCTCCTTTACTTGAGCCCAAACTGACCTGATATCAGCTCTAATTGAAAGGGCAGCAGAAATAGAAAGGCCAAGGATTGCCTGGTGGTCATGAGCAGAGTTTTCCTCTTCTCTATTTACCTTATTTGTTTGTTTATATGCTTATTTAGAGACAAAGTCTTACTATGTAGCCCAGGCTGGCCTCTAATTCACTTCAACCCACTGCCCCCAGCCTCACAAGAACTGGCTTAAGCTTTTCTTGTGCATAAGCATTCCAGCCTGAAGATGTACAGGCCAAGAGCCATGACTCAACTCAGGAACTGTTGAGTGTCTCCTGGTGTTGATGTCATCCTCTTTCACAAACATCCTGGCCTATGGTTTGTTGGGGCCTTAATGATAAGGCTGAGGGACTGTCGTTGCTTAAACTGCCAAGAAAGCACAGAGTAGGGTGCTCATACCAACACCAGTGACAATGGTCAAGTTAAGCTTGTGGCATGCTGGGCATGAGGGTTCATGCCTGTTAATCCCAGCTCACATGAAGCTAAGCAGGAGCATCACCCTGAGTTATATGGTGAGCCTGTGCTACAATGTGAGATCCTGTCTTAGAAACAAAAACTGTATTATAGTCCTTTGACAAAACATGCAAGTGTTCATGCATTGTATGTGTATTGTATGTACTTGTTAGTGTAGGTAAGGTGTGTGTGTATGTACATGTCGCATGCACGTGTGTAAGCACAGGTGTGGATACCCATAGCTGATATCAATGGTCTTTACTCCATCTGTGTTGCTTTTTATAGGGGGAGGGGGACGTCTCAAGACAGGGTTTCTCTGTGACTGTGGAGGCTGTCCTGGAACTCACTCTGTAGAACAGGCTGGCCTTGAACTCACGGAGATCTGCCTGCCTCTGCCGCCCGAGTGCTGGGATTAAAGGCGTGCACCACCACTGCCTGGCTGCCATCTGTGGTTTTGAGATGGGCTAGGAACCCTGGCTTCAGGGATTCAACTGTCTCCACCCCACAATGCTGGAGTTACAGCCATATGCTTCCACACACACAGTTATTTATGTGCGTTCTGGGAGTCTGAACTCAGGTCCTCAGGTTTATAGGGCAGACACTTTACCAGCTGAGTCGTCTCCCCAGCCCTTGGGCACAACATTTTAAACAATCACCATGTCTACATGTAAAGCTCAGAAGAATTTGACCCCGGGTTAAGGAGCAAAGGGAACAGGCATGACATAAAGACAGATGCCAAGCCTTTTATGTCACTTTAGTCATCCATCAGATACTATCTGTACGTTACAGTGAAAAGCCAGTGTTTATCAAAGGGCTCCTTCGGGTTCTGAGAAGTAACCTAGGCAACTGTTACCATAACCCACATCAGAGATCTTATCTCCTGCAGGCCAGTAGGAAGTCAGTAATGTATTGCCCAGCTGTGGGACTTCCAAAATTAGGAATTTTCAGGTCAAGAAAGAGCAAATGCTGTGATTTAGCTTTGACAGGTTGATATCGAAGTTGGTTCTGGAACTTACCAAGAGTGCTTCATGGCAAAAGGATCTTCTGGCTCATAGTTTTCCCTGCTTTCATTGGGCGAGTGTGTGGCTGCCTTGAGCCATGTTGTTTTTAACTTAGTTTAGTCAGATAGGCCCCCTTGTCTGTAAACATTCCAGCCTTGTGACTTAATCTACCATGTGATCACAAAGCTATTGAAAGTATGCTTTCAGTGAGTTTCAGGTAAGGGCTCAGAGTCTGTCCTGTCCCCTGTGGTCCCTAACTCTTTCAGCACAGTATGCCCCATTATAAACTCAAGGGTACACACTTCTAACACTGGGGCTGGAGATGGAGCTCTGTCGGTAGAATGCTTGTCTGGCATATACAAAACTCCGGGTTCAATCTGAGCCTTGCAGAAACCGGACATAGGGCACACATGTAATTCCAGTTTGCAAGAGGTAGAATGATCAGAAGTTCAAAGTCATGTCCAGCTGCATGGTGATTTCAAGGCCAGCTGGGCTACCTGAGACCCTGGGTGCTGGGGAGGTTGTTGTTTTAAGAAAAAATTAAAATTAAATATTGTCTGGTCTGATGATGTGTACTTTTAACCTGAGCATTTGGGAAGCACAGGGAGTAGGATTTCTTTGAGTTTGAGTGCCAGCCCTGGCTACATGGTAGATTCCATGTACACAATGAGATTCTTCTCAAGAGAGTCTGGAGAAGAGACACCCTGATTTAACCCAGGAGGGACTGATCCCGAGGCATCCCACAGAGTGAAACGGTGCTTCCTCTGGTTCTCTTTCACTCGGTCATAGGATGCTTGCACAGTGTTACATGCAGTTCAATCTTTTTCCATTCATTGGTGGCCCATGGACTCTGACCACATGGAATAATCTTGTGTGGTCCATGTGTTCGTCTGTGGTGTGTTTGTGGGTATGTGTGTGTACGGGTACGCCCACTCATTCATGCATGTATGGACACCAAAGGTCAATTGTCAAGTGTCTTCCTCTATGGCTCTCTGTCTTTGTTTTGTTTTTCTGAGACAGGGTTTCTCTTTGTAGTCCTGGCTGTCCTGGCACTCACTCTGTAGACCAGGCTGGCCTTGAACTCAGAGATCCGCCTGCCTCTACCTCCTGAGTACTGGCATTAAAGGCATGTGCCATCACCACTCACCTTATTTTTTTTAAGTATGAATTTATTTGTAGGAGCACACGCGTGCATGCGTGCGTGCGTGTGTGTGTGTGTGTGTGTGTGTGTGTGTGTGTGTGTGTGTGTGTGTGTATGGATGGGTGGCTGCATACATGCTACAGCGTGTATGTGGAAGCCAGAGGACAGTCCATGGGAAACAATCCTGTCTTTCTACTGTATGTGTCCTAGGGGTTGAACGCAGGTCGTCAGGCTTGGTAGCAAGCACATTTGCCCAGAAAGCCATCTTACTGTTCTTCTATCTTGTTTCTGCTATTGTTTGTTTTATTTGTTTGGGTTGTATACCAGGTGGGGTTGGTGCGCAGCTTTAATTCCAGCACTTGGGAGGCAGAGGTAGGCGCCTCTGATTCCAGGCTGGTCCATACGTTCTGCTACCTTCTTTGTACTGAAAGCACTGGGTTTTCATCCACTACCATGCCCGGCCTTCTACACGGGCGTCAGGGTGTCATGTCTTCCTGTTTGCTCAGCAGGCATTTTACCCACCGAGCCCGAGTGCAGCCCTAATTGTTCTTTAAAGAGCTAAGGAGCCAGACGTTGGTGGTACATGCCTTTAGTCCCAGAACTCTGGAGGCAGAGGCAGGAGGATCTCTGTGAGTTTGAGGTCGGCCTGGTCTACAGAGAGTGCCAGGACAGCCAGGACTATTTCTCAGAGAAACCCTGTCTCAAAAAAAAGGAAAACCAAGAATTTTTAAAAAGAACTAAGATACGGCTTGGTTATAGAATGCTCGCCTAGCATATGCAAGACCCAGAGTTTGAGCCCAAATACTGGAAAAAGAAATCATTTTAAATATAAAGCTATTCATGTTCAAGTTTTTTTTTGTTTGTTTGTTCATTTGTTTTCTCAGTCAACATCTTGATGGATTCATGGAACTGTACAAGTCCAGAACATTTCAGGAACCTGTTATAAAGCAGATTCCTAGTTCTCAGAAACATTTGCTCTTCTCATCTTTCCTAGCAATAAAAATTTTAATGGTGCCTATAGCCACCCAGAATGGAAGTGATTCCTGGCTTCCCCGTGGAGCAAACAAGGTCAATGGACTAAACTGGGACCAGCAGGATAGATGGATGTAAGATCCCTGTGGCTCAAACCCTTCACTTTGTTCTTTTCCTTCTTCTATGCCTTGTTTGTCCCTTCCTTACTTTCTTCCAGTTGGAATATGATGCCACTGAAAAGACTGATCCCTAGAGATTTTCCGAAGCAGCCGGCTAGTGTTCGATTTGTCTGTTTTGTTAAGCAACTGTTTTTGGGGGTTTTCTTCCACTCACAGCCAAGCCATTACTAATTCGGTGGCGAGTGGATAAGTGAGGCGATGGAGGGGTGGCACTTAGTGACAAAAGTAGTAGCTGCACGTCTTCCCCGAGGCCGCATCATTCAGGCCATGAAGACCATGCTTTTTAACATGCATGGTTTTAATAATTTTAAATCGTTTCTCCTTTGGATCTTCACAATAACCACCTGGGTAAGAGAAATGAAAGGACAATGGGGATACCTCTAAACTGAAGCCCTCCCCCATCTGTTTGACGAATGTGTGTGTGTGTTTTGTTTGTTTGTTTGTTTGGTTGGTTGGTTGGTTGGCTTTTGGTTTTTTGAGACAGGGTTTCTCTGTGTAGCCCTAGCTATCCTGGAACTAGCTTTGTAGACCAAGCTGGCCTAGAACTCATGGAGATTCACCTGCCTCTGCCTCCAGAATGCTGGGATTAAAGGCATGTGCCACCACTGCCTGGCAGACCAGCATCCTTATAAGAAGAAAAAGATACCAGGGATTGCACACAGAGGTGAGGCCCTGGAGAAACCGTGCCTGTCCACACCTTGACCTGGGACTTCAAGCTTCCAGAGTTGTGATAAAGTCAATTCTGTTACTTAGGCATTTATTTTGTGTAGAAACCTCAACTTGAGGATACAGGAACTATATAATTCTGTCCCCGGACTCTCTTCTGCCAATACTAGAATCTTAGCCTCAGCAGCCAACCTGCTTCCTCATGGAGTCTCTTGTGACTACTGACCCCACTGGACACAGCTCTCAAGATCCTGCATGACCACTATGAAGACAAATCTCCCACCAGCCCAAGACTGCATCCTGAAATTTAGGAGCTGGGGACTGGGGCTAGAGAGAGATCTCAATTGGTTGAATGCTTGCCTACCATGCATGAAGCTCTGGGTTTGATTCTCAGCACCACATAAAATTGGGCTTGGAGCCGGGTAGTGGTGGCACACGCCTTTAATCCCAGCACTCAGGAGGCAAAGGCAGGTGGATCTCTGTGAGTTCCAGGCCAGCATGGTCTATAGAGCTAGTTCCAGGACATCTAGGACTGTTACACAGAGAAACCCTGTCTTGAAAAACCAAAAACCAATCAACAAAATAACACACACACACACACACACACACACACACACACACATACCACAGATGGTTTAGATGGCAGGTGATTTGCACATCAGAGCCAGTCTGCCCTGTTATATTCTAACAGTATTTTGGAAATTTGTTCACTTTGGAATTTGTATGTTTATATATGCAGGCTCCAGAAGGGTCAGAATGAAGTTTTATTTGCTTTGTGACATAATCTTGTCTCAATCCTTCTGCCTCAGACTCTCAAATGCTGGATTGCAGGCATGTACCACCAAACTCACACCACACTTGCCTCCAAGCATGGTATCATTCATTGGATTTCTGTTGCTGTGATTAACACCATGACCAAAACAATGTATAAGAAGAGGCGTTGGGCTCACCGAGGCAGGGGAGACATGTCAGCTGGCAGCCAAAGCAAGAAGCCTAGAGAGCACCCCTCTTTCTTCAAGAAGAAAGAACAAATTGAAAGTGGGGTGAAGTTATAGACTCAAAGCCTGTCTTCAGTGATGTCCTTCCTCAAGCAAGGCTCTGCTCCTCTAATCTTCCTTCCTTTGACTGCCCTAAATAGCATAACCGGGGACCAAGTATTCAAATCCAAGAGTCTACTGAGCACATCTTTCATTCAAACCACCAGCCAGGGTTTTTGTTTGTTCTTTATTTGTTTGAGACAAAGTCTGACTATGCTGCCTGAATTGACTGGATCTCTGGATATATGAGCTCCAGACTCGTCAATAGGTGGTACTGCTGGCAGGGACCACCATGCCAGGCTTGAAGTGTTTTTGAATTATAGAAAATGTCAAACATATACAAAACTCTAAAGCAGGTTGAAATTTCATGTATTATCGCCCAGCTTCATCAATGATGGACTCAAGACAACATACCCCCATCCCTGCTTCCCTTTATCCCCAAAATTATTTTGAAGCAAAAACTCAGACCAGATTGTTTCACCTGCAACTAGTTTGACATGAGTCTGTAAAAGACAAGAAATACTATAGATCTTTGTTTACTTCTCTGTCGGTAGGGTTTTCGCCAGCTTGATGTAAGGGAATCTCTATCAGGTTGACTAGAAGGCAAGCCTGTGGGTCACTTTATGATTGATGATTGAGGTGGAAAAGCCCATCCCACTGGAGGTGGTGTCCCACTGGGAAGGTAGTCCAGAGTGTTCTAAGAAAGCAGGCTGAAGCATGCCTTTAATCCCAGTGCTGAGAGTCAGAGGCAGGAGGATCTCTGTGAGTTTGAGGCCAGTCTGGTCTACAGAGAGAGTTCCAGGACAGCTAGGGCTGTCACACAGAGAAACCCTGTCTTGAAAACAAAAAACAAAAAAGCAAATAGAAAGAGAGAGAGAGAGAGAGAGAGAGAAAGAGAGGGAGGGAGGGAGGAATGGGCTGAGCAAGCCAGTGAGCAGCACTCCTCCAGGACCTCTGCTTCAGGACTTGCCTGTATGTTCCTACTTGAGTTCCTGCCCTGACTTCCGTTCATGACGGAGTGTGACCTGAGAGTTGTAAACTAAAATAAATCAGAAGTTGGCTTTGATCAGTGTTTATCACAGCAACAGAGAAGCCTATCA